CCTCCTCCAAGAGTCCTGGCTGAGAGAGCATCCCTCATTGTGGGATGGGCACCCAAAGTCTATTTGTACCCCATGGATTACCTAGGCCTCCTCACTGTATTTTCTGTATTTTAAACATAAAAGACGCCAGGCATGAGCTCAGAGCGGTATGGACTTGCTGACCTAATCTCACTCCCTGCAACCTGAGAACAGCTCCTAAAAGCTGTACACTCTGACCTCCAGTGCGCTACTGTACATGCGGGCACGGGCCCGTGATTCTGCACACCAGATAAAAGATGGGAGTGGAAAAATAAGCTCAAAATATACAGTAGACAGCATTAATTGCCATCTAAATTAATGAGATTGCTGTCTTACAAAACTATTAGTTAAATTTTATTGGGCCGCAAAGCTACTATTTTAAGCAACAAGTGTAGGCAAATGCTAAAATTTAAAGACCAGAATGAAAGTTTTCACTGGCTCCTAAATGTATCAAGCGTTTCTCCTAAAAGGAATGATACTCATGTTTTCAACATTTGCTGATCTCTGGTTTTAGGCAGAAACAGTATCTTCTGCAATACATACAGTCCAAATCCTAAACGACTAAGTCCCATCAGAATACACCTAAAAACTCAAAAGGACATGCTTTATCTTTAACCTAGCAAAATTATTCTTGCGAATAGCCCAGGTTTCCCTTCCTCGTTTCTGTGAGTCCCAAAAAGAGCTTCCCAAAGCGGGCTGTGCACGTACAGAAAGAAGCAGGGAGTATAAGGTCCTAATTCTGGATTCCCACACCACACCGTTAGCCACGAAACACAGCCAAAGCACTCTGATGAAAAGTAACAAAAAACCAATACCCAATCCCTGACCGGAGAGTCTGCATTCTGTAGGCACAGGGAAGAAACTTCTGATGAGGACTGATAAAGCCACAAGCCAGCAAGCAGAGGAGAGGCCCTTGAGAGGATGCCTATATTAGGTGTGGAAAGTGTGCCAGCGCGCTCCAGCTTCTGCCCCGGGAGCCCGGACACCCTTCTCAAAGGTACCTGGCACTTCAAGGTAACAGAAAGTACGCAAGCACACCCCCACCGCAATGGGGTCAGGGCGTGGCTGCCTGAGAGCTCTCTTTGGCACTGCCACTGAATGTAAACGGACACACACTGGTCTCGCAAACCGCCTCTTAGGTGCCCCCAGCCTGTGCCTGGGGTGAGACAGGATGGCGATGGAAAGTCCATGCAGAAGAGAGGGACAGCCCCCCCACCCGTGAGCCTTAAAACGGCAACTTTGGAGGGAGCCAGAGCTCACCTTCCAGCCAGGGTTCACCTGGCAGAGCACCTGGCACTCAGCCTAACAAGCACCCGGTGTTCTACCCTGACTAACACCACAATCGATACCGTCCTTTAAACCCACAGCTTTTCCCCAGAGCCCCGGGAACCGCCGGCTCGGGGTCATGCCTTGGAGTTCGGTGAGTCACTGAGCCATTCGCCGGGGTGCGTGCGGCAGGGTCAACTCCTGAGGTCCAAACAACTTCATAAGCTCAAAACCTCAAATCCCTTCCATACTGAAGCGGCTAAATCCTGGGCCGCCGAATCCAGCACAGCCCTGAAGGAAGGAGCTGGCACAGTCACGTGGATGAGGTCGGGACCTGTCCCATCCTAGGAGATGAATGGATGTGGCTGCATTCCGGGTGGCAACAGAGCACGCCACTTCTGCGTGGGGAACTTGTGGGTCTGAGACACCACCGGTAAACGCACACACCACACGTTCGCTTGAAGTTTGTAAGTGCTTATTCCAATGAGGGAGTTCACTAACCGCGTCTCTTTTACATAGGCCTGCTTCTCTCTTTTATCCCTAAGTGATCCTAACAACACAGTTAAAACTGCCCCATTCCTGTAAATGAGGACCTGTGCAGACCAGCACTCCCCTCACACCCCCCGCACCTGGCACTATGCAACGAAATCAAAGGAGTCACGTGCGTTAAAAACACTCCGATAAATTACACGACAGAATGAAGGCTTAAAGAGCTTATGTAACAGCCATAAATTACTGCAAACTGCTGCACATCAAAAGAGACTTTGGCACAGTGCATGCTTGGTACAGTCAACAGATAAGAAAATTGCATCATACTAGATGGCAGGCAGGTGTTTGCAAGAGAGATAAGAGGTTTCTTTTTTTTTTCAAAACTAAACATTCGACAGCGCCAAGGTGCATGTGTACCCACCCAGAGCCCTCTTAAGTGCAAAAGTCAAATGTACACCAAATTGAGAGGCGCCGACTGCCGGGAAGCTGCTTGTCTGGCTCTCTCCCAGGGATCAAGGCCACATTCAAGGAAGAGTTTGGATGAAAGAGATACACGAAAGGATGGTAGGTGGAGCTACTCGCTAACCCACTACAAGTTAAGCACGGCAGGGCGGTAAACCAGTCTCCGTGGCAGAAGTCTTCCGAGGACCGCCTTCGGCGCTGTCTCCGCTCTCTAAGGAAGCATCAGGACAGAGGGGCAGACAGATCGGGGCGACCATGGTCACTGCTGCTGCCAGAGTGCTGCTTACACTCAGAGAGCCTCCAACACTTAAACGGTCCTGACTGAAACACGTGCCCTTCTCAACAGGAAGTTCCCAGCAACTGACTTTTAGTATCACAGTATCCAGAGTTAGCTTCATCTTTGTGCCAGATAGAAGTCCCACCTCAGGCAATCCAAGCCCTCAGAAGAATAAGACAAGATAAATGAGGACACCCTCAGCTAAACAGAAAGACTCGATTCTTAATTAATATTCTAGAAAAAGGAAAGCCATATGGGAACATGGAGATCTATCTTTGTGAATGTCTGCTTGGTTTTATTTTTAACTTTTCTATGTTTATGATATGACAAAGTAAAATGCAAATAGAAGGGAAATACAAAAGATGCAAAGAAAATGCAGATTTATACCGAAACATACACACACACACACACACACACACACACACACACACACACACAGCAAAAGTCCAATCATGTAGCAGTCAAAGAACACAATAAATGCACATGTGCCTGCAGGGATGCTCAAGTCTAAGATGCCACACTCTAAAGTCAAAGGTTTATCAGCACATTTTTCTCCAGGCCAGGTAAAAACACAAGCTCATAGGGAAAGCTGTGCTGAGGAATAAATACATACACAGTACGAGTTAACGGCATCCGTGTTTGTTCCTCCCGGTGAAAGCCAGATGCCAGGAGGTCAGGAACATGGCAGCCTCGTTTCCAGTGCCAAGGCTAAGCCGGACGGAACTGTAAGCAACAGAGAAGTCCGAATCTCCACCCAGAGTTCAGGAACCATTCCCAGGACTTAGGCTTACAGCAAGTACAGCTGCTGTCCCAAGTGAAAAGTCAAAAAAGCAGGTGTTTTCTCCTACATCCTTTACCAAACGGCTCACTTCAACACATGAATGAACTGAGCGACAGCCATTCCTAGCCACGTTTTCCAGGTATGTGTTTGATACATGCGTGTCACCAGATTGTTGTATTGGAGGAGTATGATACACTAACACGCCAACTCTCTGGAGACATTTTACTATCTGGCCCCACACCCAAAAAATCCTAAGGGTGCCACAGAAGCAGCACACACTATCCGTGGAGAGAGACAGATGTTTTGCTGGCTTCGCATAACATTTCCCTAAAACTTAAAACTCAGATGATACTCATCAAAGTCTGGGTTTCTGGTGGACCTGGCAATAACGAGCCTTTGCTGTTTTCTGACTTAAGGGGAGAAGTAGTTGTCCAATTCACAAAGGCCTGCCCACCACAACCCCCCTACTCCCTATCACCCACACTCAAAAGAACCACTGGTCCTCACTGGCTGACCTGTGGCTACCTATTAGCAGGGTGACTCTGGGCGTAATTCCATAGGCACCACAGCTCGGAAGCACCAGAAAGGAACAGAAGTGTTACAGAACAATATTAGGAGAAGCCAACAGCCGGGTGTGATGGCGTACACCTTCGATCCTAACACTGAAGAGGCAGAGGCAGGTGGATCTCTGTGAGTTTCCGGGATAGCCTGGTCTACATGGAGAATTCCAGGTCAGCCCGAGTTACCTGCCTGAAAGAAGGACATGAGGAAAAGGGACTTGACCCAGACTGAAGCTTCGCATAGGCTAGACAAGGAGACATAATCTGAGCCAGAAGTTGTCCCCGCCCCCTACCTTTAGCAACGGTTAGCTATGCTGGTGACTTCCCAAAGCTCATGAGAATCATGACCGAGCAACACTCAGCATGGCTCAAGAGGAGCTGTCCCTGTCCCGGTACTGCCCAAGACACTCAGAGCGTCACTGGCCTGTTTCGGACGCAATGTCTTTTCTACCCAGGCAGTCAGACATAGTATGCCCAAATTCCATCAAGAAAATGGAACAACGTTTTTGGTTTGTTTTTTTTTTTTTTTAATAAGCCAGGGAGAAAACTGACTATGGCTTAAAGCCAAACTATGTTTGGCCCACAAAGAAGAAATTACACACTATTACAGAAGTATTAGGACAACAAGAACAGAAGACTTACAGAGAAGGGATATTCATTAACGAACTCCAAGAAAACATCCACGTTTCTAATGTCAAATAAAATGTCCAAAAAAAACCAACTGAAATTGACTCCCCGTCGTTACATAGACTCACAAATACGCACACATACTCATAGAACACTTTTATATGCTTATATATATAGCCAATTGTGAAAACACCTGGGGTGCATCAGCACTATATGCACACCGCGTGAAAAGGAGAAAGGAAGACAGGGAGAGAATTGACCGAGTCCACACTACATCAGTCTAAGTCATGCCTTGTCGTTTTATCAGCCCTGCCTTCCCTCATCAGGAGCGCCAAGCTCCAAGTCCTTATTAACATCCGAAATTTCCAGAAACATTTTATAACCTGAAGAGTCTTTTTTCCCCCCCGAGAATTACAGGATCATTGGTAGAAAAAAATATATATAGGCCACGTTGATGAGCGATTTCCACAAACTGGTCTTTTCCCTCCCACAGACTGAAAAGAAGAAGGCAAACACTCACCGCAGAGAGCTGACTCCATGTGGACCTCAGCGGCTTGTGGTGGACCACGATCTTTTCCTCTGGCTTCTGCTCTTTGGGCTCTGACTCCTCATCGGAGTCGATATCCAGGGCCTTTTCTTTGTAGTTTTGATACAGCACTGCATTTTCTTCAAGAGAACACATCAGATACATCACTGGCTGCCTCCGAGGGCCACGCTACTTGCTCTAAACAAAGGCCTACATCTATGCAGTGTTTTTAGTGCTGACTTAATTAGCAGCTGGTAAAGAAAAAAAAAAAGAAACAAATACATTTTGTCACCAAAGGAATGTTTGACATTCCAGCTAAAGCAAAAGCTGCGATGTCTCCGTCCACTGTCATGAAAAGATGGTCAACACCGCCGCCCATTGTAATTCAGGTTAAAGTGAATCCATGTCATGTTTCCATTCAACAATCTGCTGAGCAAACATCTACTGTACGTCTGTGAAGCTTTATTTTTTTCTTAAAAATAAGGGAAACGATACTTCCTATCCCTCCACGGACTGTTAAGTCGGTAAAAAGGAGTGAGCTTCATACTCATGCATTTACTCATCCAACTGACATTTAGGAAATATCTAACTAGATGCCAGCAACTGCTAAGCAACTAGGAATACAATGGACCAAAAAAAGAAAAAGGAAAAGATAAAGAGTCTCATCATTCATGAAGCTGACATAAAATGAAGAAGAACTAAAATAAACAATTAACTTTCATAGTATTTCAAATATGGCCATGTTGTCATGGAGAAAAACAGATGATGGAAAGGGGTAGGAATTCTGGGACAACAGTGAGCTCTTTTTAAGTAGGGTAGTTTAGGAAGGCCTCACAAGACGTAATCAAGGCAAGACATAAGAGGTAAGAAGGCAAGCCATTTGTACAGCTAAAGAAATAGGTGCGTGTGTGCCTGAGTGCGTGCGTGTGTGTGCGTGTGTGTGCGTGTGTGTGTGTGTGTGTGTGTGTGCGTGTTCATGCGTGTGTTACCTAGGCACACAACAGCAATACCTGAGAACTCAGAAGACGACGTCTGGTGTCTGTCTATCCTGTCCACTTTGTTTGCCACAGGCTCTCTCTGTCACAGCTGCACATACCGACACTTGGATTACAGATGTGCTCTACCACACCTGGCTTTGTGTGGGTCTGGGCAACAGAAACCCAGTTGCTTACGTCTGTGCTGCAAGCCCTTTATCCGCTGAGCCATCTCCCCCAGACTGGGAGAAAATATCTCAGGCCACTGAACCGCAAGTACAAATGACTTAGGAAAGGAGTCTTCGGCCCAGTGTGTCTGTGTGGGCAAGAAGCAGCAAGGCCAGTGTGGTGGCGGTGGCGCGGCGGGGAGTACCAGCGGAGGGGGCCCGGAATCACAGGGGGTGAGAGGTGAGCGCAAGCAGGTTGTGTTGGGCCACTAAAAGAACCCTGATGTTGCTGGGCGGTGGTGGCACACGCCTTTAATCCCAGCACTCAGGAGGCAGAGGCAGGTGGATCTCTGTGAGTTCGAGGCCGGGCTGGACCGACAGCCTCCAAAACAATACAGAGAAACCCTGTCTCATAAACCCAAAAAATAAAGAACCCTGATGTCTACTCCAAGTGGGATCCCAGGTTATTGGAGGGTTGAGGGCTCACGACGCCACATAAGCCCACGGCGACAAAAGAGAAGCTATAGTGTGCAGAGTGGCCCTGACTAGAACTGGCAGAGTGTGATACAGCCTGGGGGAGGGGGGTGTCAGAGAGGCACCCATGAGGGAGGTCCAGGCTCCGGGAGCAGAAAAGCAACAGAGCTCAGGGAAAAAGCAGAGGAAGGCACCCCGAGGCAGGAAGAAATATAACCCTCAGGAGCTCCAACGACGGCCAGGGCGGTTGGACCAGGCAGGGGTGCACAGCGGGCAAACCCTGCAACACCCACTCGCAGAGATGAGCCACAGAGTCCAAATCTAAACCACCTAAACAAAAGAGTTAGATTTTTTTTTATCCTGAGTTCAAAAGGCTTTGGCTTCCCTCATACTGTCGTGACTGTGTTTCATCCCGAAGGCAAGGTCACCCACCAGAAACAGATTCGCTTCGATGAGGCCAAGAAAACACTAGCTACCCAGGCCTTGCCGGTGGAGTCGTCACTGATGTCACTGATAGGTGAGGGAGACCTGAGCTGTGCCACTGAGAACGGACGGGTGACAGACTGGATGTTCGGGGGGAGGGGGGGCGGCAGAAGTAGGTTTTAAGCTTTCAAAACCTCCCAGCTACACAGACGGAAAGCAGAAGACAGGACCATCCGAAGAGACTCGGGCATGAGGGGGAAGATTCTGAGCTTTGTGTATAGGGTTTGGGGACTTAGACTTTTGCCACATCTGCTTTTTCTCCCGGCAACCACAGGTATCTCTGTTGTGTGCTGCATCTGCATTAGTCTGCAGAACCTATGCAAGACCCTTTCCTATTCTTGGGGTTGTCCTGCATATGGAAATAAGTAAGTCAAACTCGGTTTCTGCGGTTATAAAGTATTTCCTTGGGTGGGGTGGAGGCATAAATCATACGTGTAACAGCCTTCGATAATGATTTCTCGCTCAATTCTCACAAAAGAATGGGCTACCGGTCCTATCACTCTCGTTTGACCCACGAGACGGGGCTCAGTGACGCATGGTTCCTGTGTCTCTGCCACTCAACTGATGACTAGAAACACCAAGAACCCGGCATCGCAAGTTCTCACTGCTGGACGACACTACCTTGCAGGTGCCTTCTTCCAGGCCATTAGCTGTTAAGGGTCTTGCATTCTTCACTTACATGTGTCAAAAAAAAGGATGCCTACACCCTCACGTGTAAAGGACAGATTAAGATACCCAGGAACAGCTGATACAAGGGGATAACACACAACTGCCTATTCTGACTTTAAAACACTCAAATTCTCCAACCCTTTAAGGCATACACAGAACCAAGCTCAGACTCCAAGATGCAAAGAGGAAATTTCCTCTGAAGGAGGAAATATAGAGGAGGGGTTGGTTGCTGGCTTCACAGTCATGCAACGGTCCAGGAAACAGCAGTGTATGAAGCAGCAGCCCTAAGTCCCACAGTTTGGGTCGCCAGAGGCATCATCGGGGACAGTTAGTAAGATTCTCGGACCTTCTGATTCCTGCGCTTACAAAATCAGGGAGATGAATGTATCCCAACTAGCCAAAATACCGTATCTGGGTTTCTTCTCCAAAACAGTTAGTACAATGACTTCATTGATTACCCAACTGTAGTTACACAGGAACTATTTTACAGTCACCCAAATTATGTATTTAAAATCTGCACGGCTTTCCTTTATAGCTTTCCTTATGGAAGAGAGTGCTTTCCTTCATTATTCACTTAAGGGTAGAAACTCTGAGCATTTATTAAAAGCATGGCAGAAAGCAAATCCACTCACAGTCCCCAGGAGCCTCAGGGGAAGGCCGAGACTGCCCACTTCAGGATGCTCCAGTTGGCTGACACCTGACCCATCTATTTACAGAGTCTACTAATCTGATTAGCATGTGAACACCTGGCTGAGCTTGTGCCTTTGAAATCCTTCACAACAAATAATACACAGGTCACAAATTCTCAAGATGGTTGTTTTTTTCACCAGAAAAGCTGCATTTCCCCAAAGGGTAAACTTAGCAGGAAAACAGGAAGTCAGAAGTGAAAAATCAAAGGTGGAAATACGGCGAAAATCATATTAAGGAAGGAAAAAACATCGTAGCCTAAGGAAAACCACCAAGTGTCAATTAAAGAGTCAGAGCTGGCTCTGCTTTGAGGCTGGAGGGAGGGAAAGGAGCCAGGGGATGTAAGCAGAAAAAGTTACCAGCTTATGAAAGTCCACCGCGCCACCCCCTCCCCATGGGTGAAAACCTTAGCTTGGTGAACACAGCCCTGCGCTGTGCGGAGCAGGACAACGCCGGGCAATTCTGTGTTTTCATCGCAAGAGTCTTTGTTACCGCAGTCAGGCTTGAACTTACGGCTGATGTACCATACTGAAACCGCAATAAAAAGTCTGGAAAACAGAACGCTTACCTTCCCCATCGAATGTTCCTTGTCCTTTCAGCATTTTTTTCTAAGAGACAAGAAAAGAGGGAGAGAGAGACCATGCATGAATGAGCCAAGCAGAAAACACAACTATTGTAAGTAAATGCCCCCCCCTTTGTTATGTCCCTCAGATTCCCAAAGGCACACTGCAGAGAATCCCCCATGCCATGCCAACTCGCAGCAACAGTGAACTAAAAAACGCACACACAGGGTCCCCACACCCCCTTAAACCAGACTAAGAATCCTCAGGCGGCCAGCGGTTCCAAGCAGCTACTACCTGATTCACTCTCGCTGCTATCCCTGACAGCTGTTGGGGGGGGGGGGCTGTACATAAAATGTCGTGTTATGCAGGGTCTTCTCTTGAAGACCACGTGTCTAAAATGAAACAGGGTTGCTTGTGCACTACACATTTGACAGTTATATACACTACTTCCAGTTCTCTGGTTAATCAAGAGAGAAAAAAGTGACTGCCAAAGGCAGGCTTTGCCCTATTGCTTAGATCGTGTCACGTGTCTGGGAAAGTGGCACACATTCCAAAACATCGCTCTCTAGTCGTCTTCCCCCCCCCCCCCCCCCCGACCCTTTAGGCCCCGGTTGGGGTGGGGGAATATATCCAGTAAGTGCAACTGCTGGGCCGTTATCAGCATATAATACCTCACCCCCTCACTCAAGTTCTAAGCTAAATGCACTCAGTGATTAATAGTAACAACATGTAAACAAGGAACGCGGTGACTAAAGCAGACGCCAGAAGTCAGAGCCCTGCTCCAGTTAAACTCGTTTTTACTAGAACGTTATCCAAAGTGCCGTGGTCCTCCAGAACTCGTCCCGAGAACACTGTTCACTCTGAGTTTCCTGAAGGCAGGTGAGCCTGCCCAATCCTCCTACCTTTATCCTCCCCAGGCTGGAGAACCTCTCCTTGTCCTCCACCACCGCCTTCAGAAGAGGCTGGGACATTCTGTTCTTCTTCTTGGAGCTGGTGGGGCTGTCAAAATCAAAGCCGCTGACCACTGCCCTTCGGTAAGAAGTGGACCGCAAGCCTCGCCGCAGGGAGCCCGGGCTGTCCATGTCGTTGTCGACTTCACCTTCCTCCCCTTCGTGGCCCAGGGGTGCCCCCAGCCCCTCCACCAGGCTGCGCACCTTGAGGAGCCTCCGGTGCGGCTCCGCGTTTTGGCTGTTGGGTTTGCTCAGCTTAATTTCCGAGGCCAGGCTTTTCGGGATAATCTGTTGCTTTCCCATCTTGAGGGCGGCGGGGCTGTTGGTGCTCAGAACCACGGGAGGGCTCGGGAGCTCACTCCCTTGGGAGGGCAGCCTCTGGAGCGGCAGCTTTGGTTCTGAAGACCCGGCATGAGGAGCAGGGGTGAGTCTCCAGGGGCCGGGCTCCAAGTCCCTAGCCGTCGGACCAGTTGGTGAGGCTGAGCCAGGCGAGTCGTTTTTAGGGCCAAGGAGGCCATTGGCCATGGGAGAAGACACCTTACCCGCAGTTACCCCGGTGCGATCCCCCTCGGGGTCAGGAGCAGCGTAGGGGGTCCGCGAGGCGCACATGGGCGCCGCGGACGAGGCCACCGTGCCATTAGCGGGGGACTTCGGGGAGCCGCCCGACGCCGCCGCCGCGTGAAGAACCAGGGGTGACTTGGGTCGTCGCAGTCGAGGAGAAGCAGCTCTATAGTCCGGGGACACCGTGCGACCATTGGCCACCGGCCTGCGGTGCGCGCACAGGAGCTGGGGGCTTCTGGGCACCACCGTCCTGCCGTCCGGGGCGGCGGGCGCGCGGGGGGCGGGAGTCTGCGGCGCGGGCAGCGCGGCCAGTTCCTCCACCGGGAAGTCGGTGATCAGCAGCCCGCTGGGGCTCTGGTAGGACTGCGGCCGCGGCTTGCTGCGGCCGAGGAGCTGGAGAGGAGGGGTGGACCGTCTGCGCCACAAAGGGGCGACGCCGTGGCTGGAAAAATCCACCTCGCCTTCGCTGTCCATGGCGGGGCCTTGGGGCCGGCCCCGGGAGAGGGAGAGCTGCTCAGGTTGCCTAGGAGGAAGCAACTTTGGCTCCAGACAACTGTTCTCCTCGGCGAGCCCAGCCGGCTCCCAGCTGGGCAGTCGCACGGGTGTCGCGCGCGAGGACTCGGCAGCGCCGCGCTTAACCCGCCCTTTCCCGGGCACGGCGCCTCCCGCCACACTGCGCGCACCGACCGCGGGCGGAGATCCGAGCTGCGGCCGATTGGGTAGATCCGGTCCCTCCTGCGTCCTTCCCTGGCGCCCAAAGCCCGCCACCCACTCGCAGCGGGTGGCCGACCCGCGCGGGACTCTCGGGAAGAGTTCAGCTGGCTCGCCCAGCTCGCCTCGGGACGCTTCCCGGCGCCTCCATGAAGCCGTTCGCCCCGCGCCACTCCACCGGACTCCCCCGCTGCACGGCCCACGGCGAGCTCACCCTTCCAGAGCGCAGACCCAGCAGTGCTCCCGGGCCCCGTGGGTGGCCTGAGTCCGTACCAAAGCGCCCGGGGAAGCAGCTCTGCACGGCGCAGCAGCAGCGGCGGCGGCCCCGCGGCGCCCGCTCCGCCCCCACGCTAGGGCCAGCCCCTCTCGGCCCCGCCCCTGCAGCCCGGGAATCTAGCCGAGAGGAGTCCCCGAGTCTTGGTTTTCCCTCTTCCTCCCACACCTCCCCGCCTTCAACAAGTGCTGTGCGCTCTGGTCTCTTGGCCGAGAGGACGCTCACACCTGAGCCGGGTGCGCAGACGCCAGTCCCGGGGTGCAGGAGTGCAGGCGGCGGCCCCAGGGGCCAGCTGGAGGGGCGCGGTCGCGGCTCGGAGCTCAGCGTGGGAGCGATCGTGGGAGCCTTGCCAAGGTGTACTTTCTGATCTCCGAGCCCCGGGAGGAGGAGGAGGTGGGAATGGTTAGACCACGTCGGAGCGTGGTGCTACCCCCCTTGGAAAGGAGAACCGCTTCGGAGAGTGCTGCGATCTCCAAACGGAACCTCACCCCCGACGGATTTACCTGTATGCACCCGGAGCAAAACTGGCTCGGAGGCCAGGTGGAATTGATTTCGTAATCTTCGGGCCTTGTGCTTTTGAAAGTTACACAGCAGAAGCAAACAAGACACAAAATGAGTGGGCAGTTGTGTGTAACAGAAACAGAAAAATGGAGGGGTAGAATAAAATAAAATGCAAAGAGCGAGTTCCAAATCCTTTATCAGAGACTAAGAGGCATGAAAGGTGGGTCTACCCCCTCCAGTCCCCCCACCCCCATCTCCTCTCTAGCTGTGCTTAGCCAGCCCAAGTCTACAGCCTTAGATCCTTTACTCTCTTGGCTTCTGGGCTGTCACTCGGTCACAGAGGCCCCCTGAATGGGAACACACACTACCCTTTATTTCCCCCCCAAACCACCTGGTCTCTTTCTTCTCCACACTCTTCAAAACTTGTAACTCTGCGTGCTTATGTGTTTATGTATTAATTGCTTAATCTATTCTGCCTTTGCATTGTAATCTTGAAGAAGTCAGGGCCCGTGGCTGTGCTCCACACAGTGGACGGTAGGTGTCTGTTGAGCGAGTGGACGAATGAGAGAAATGCGCATTCCTCCCTGGGCTGTTGTTGCCAAGCTGACGGATGTCTGTGAAAGTCCTGGTATGTAAGAATAATGATGCAACCTGAGACTGAGAGGCGACTTTAGTTGATTAGACCTGCAGAATTGGTACTTAGCAAGCCTCACGGGAGCCTCCTGGCTTTCAGCATTCATGAGAGAACCCACACTGCTTACAAGCCGTGCTTGTTTCTGCTTTGGGTCGTGAAAGGAAGGTTTGTCGTGTTTCTTTATGTTTTTCTATACTTACCAAACCTGTGCAGTGAAGATGTTACTTTGATCTGAGAAAGTTTTGTGAGCTAGAAGAAATGGCATCAAAATGTTTACCAACATAATTTCTAAAGAGACATTTACCAACAATTCCATATGGAATAAAGCAGATTCTATGTTCATATGTGGGCCCTTAATATAGGGAATTTTTGTATCACTAATATTAGTTTTATGTAGTAAAATAAATTTAATATCAGCAAGTGTGGAAATTGGTAAATGGAAGTTTGGCTGTGGATGAGGATGAAGTCTGTAATCAAAGTTAAAAGGCTGTGAGTAATGAGGAATTGACATCTCTGCAAATTATGTTGGCTCTTCAGTTGTGACTGGTGTTTATGAAGAAGTTTCCAGATTCTGCTTCTGTCTTTTCACTAAGGAAGTTTGGGAACACACACACACTGAGCATGTATTTTAGCCTCCACTTAATTTATTGTATACTTTCAAGTCTAAGATGTAGTCAGTTGGTTGCCAACTAATTAAAATGTGACAGAGTGTAGTGTTATGGAATTCTTTATACTTACTGAAAAATACTTTTAGGTTTGCTTAGACAATTTCAGTACCACGCATGTGTAAAAATATAAGCAGAATAAATTGTTTGGAGTATTGTTCACCAAGCCTATTTCTTTAGAACACTTTTATTTTCACACAGCTATTAATACGTATGACTTTCACACACACACACACACACACACACACACACACACACAAAATAGCAACAATAATACAGTATTTTTTTTTCCAAGAGAGGGTTTCTCTGTGGCTTTGGAGGCTGTCCTGGAACTAGCTCTAGTAGGCCAGGCTGGTCTCGAACTCACAGAGATCTACCTGCCTCTGCCTCCCGAGTGCTGGGATTAAAGGCGGTATGCCACCACTGCCAGAATATAATACAGTATTTCTTAAAAGTATGCTGTAGTCTTGTGTCTGGGGATTTTCTTTCTAGACATTAATAAACATATTGCAAATCTGTTGCCTTCATTATTCTCTGATTTAAAACACAGAATCATTTATTCAATGTAATTATATGGATCTCTGTGCTCGTGTGTGTGTGTGTGTGTGTGTGTGTGTGTGTGTGTGTGTGTTATTCACAAATACAGAGGCAGTGACAACTGTATTGTCATCCCAGTAACTTTGTCAATAGCTACTTTTTTGATAGCAAGAAAATTTGTGGTTTCAGAGGATTTGAAAAGCGGGACTAAATACTCTTTAAAACTGGAATAATACCCAACTTGTCATTATACCCAAAGGCCATATTGAATCATTGGAATATCCAACGGTATACTACCGCAGGATACATTTTCCTATGTTGTTGTGTTTGGCACCGAAATTTGGCTAATTTAAAGTACGCTGTGCGGATTAGACTTAATACCTTTGCTGATGTGTCCGTGGGCCTTTAATTGGTTTAGCTTCCCTTTCCACAAATACTTACTGGGTGCGTTTGAAAGTGAAGCAGTGAGCCAGATCTTACAACTCGTCTCAAGTGCCTGAAACGTCAAGATGACACCAGAAGACGACACTCACGTCCAGGAAGGTACACACGAAGTTCCGTGGAAACTGCTGTCGAGGGGATTACAACCCGGCCAAGACATTTCAAGGCAGAGAAGACGGAATAGGCCTCTGAAAGACGTTCCAACGTGAGCAAAATGTGGGACTGCAACTTAACATCAGTGCCAGCTAGATGCTAATGTAGTATGCAGATCTGATCCTCATTTAGAATTCAGCTTGGAAGACGCATCGGGCAGCCAAGTGGGCTACCTCGTGGAGACTGAGAGGGAAGGATGTGGGCGTTTCCTTTGGGTCCCCAGGGAAGACGAAGGAGCAAAGCTGCCCCTCTTCGTGCCTTTACTGGAGAGCCCGAGGATGGCCCTCTAGGTAGTTGCAGCCCACATCTGCAGAACTGCAGAGGTTGCCAAATCAGAGTCAGCCGGTCACCAGAACAATACCACACACCGGTGCTGTGTGGATTGAGGCCTAAGATAAGTATTGGGGGAGGGGGGCGGAGCAAAATTCCTAATTCCATTGAAGGTCCTGGTGTCTAAAACTGCAAATTAAGAATTTAGGAATTCTAAGCCTTTTTGCAGTGGGCCTGCAGCCGTCTCTGGAATGCAGGGCACGGCAGGGCAGGAGGACACGTGCGCGTAGCCCAGGCATCTCGAGATGTGTGTTGATCTCTAAGCACACTTGAATACACACAGGCCAGATCCCTGTACTGGTCTCGGTGCCCAGGTAATCACGTGTGTGCCCAATGTAGAAAACTCAGTTTCCATCCACTTGATGTCAAGGGCTGTCCTGACACTTTGGACTCTGCTAACAGTCCTAAGGAGGGACAGGATTGTCCTTCTGATTTCTCAGTCTCTGACTGGGACCTTTTCGACACAAATAAAAATCAGATATGACCTGAGCAAGTGGGAGCTCACAGACTCCAGTCTGACAGCTGGGGAACCAACATAGGACGGAACCAGGCCCCCTGAACGTGGGTGTCAGCTAGCTGTGGGGCCTGGGCAGTCTCTGGGGCCTCTGGCAGTGGAACCAGTGTTTATCCCTAGTGTATGAATATAGACTTTGGGAGCCCACTCCACATAGAGGGATACTCTGTCAGCCTAGATACACAGAGGAAGGCGTAGGTCCTGCCCCAAATGATATGACAGACTTAGATGATCCCCCATGGAAGGCCTCACCCTCCCTGAGGAGTGGATGGGGGTGGGAAGGGGAGATGGAGGGGGGAATGGGAAGACTGGAGGGAAAGGGAACTAGGATTGGTATGTAAAATAAGATTGTTTTTAAAATTAAATTAAAAAATTAATTAAAAATATTAGACATGATACCTGGATATTAACAGTATCAGTTTAGGTTAAACAAGATAAAAGAATTTTGCATTGAAGTTGGTGGGGAGTCCCTGTAGCATGAACCAGCAGGAAAAGGAAAGTCCAAACCTGACTGTTTTCCAAGGGTCCAGCAATCCAGTGGTTTCAGCTCACGTGGGGACAAGACCCAGCCTTGGGGTTGGCAAAGGACAGCCTGGCTTCTCAGAGGTACTTAGGATTCAGTTGTGATTCTTGGGACAATATTTATTTATATTCTCTCTGTCTCTCCCTCTCCCCCTCTCTCTATGTGTATAGATGTCTCTCTGGGTATGTGTCTCTCTGTGTCTGTATCTCTGTTTCTGTGATCTTCTTGCTGTCTGACTCTGTGTCTCTGTCTCTGCCTCTCTGTTTCTGTCTCTCTGTCTCTCTCTGTCTCTCTCCTTCTCTGTCTGTCTGCCTAGTCCGCACTAGATATAGTACGCTGTAAACGTAAGTTTTGTGGAATGGTCCCATGCCTACTCTTGAGTCCATGGGTCTGATGTAGTCATTATGCCAGGCCACTCACTGCCTGCCTCCAACTCCAGGAACACAGCCAAGCTAGAAAAAGCAGCTTGGTTGAGGAGGAGGCTATTGTGAAAGCTGAACTAGAAGGGGAGCTCTTCCCGAAGTCCTCAGTACTGCCAAGGAATTATTGCTAGGGGGCAAGGACCAGGCCTGGGTCATCTCTCATCTGACTACGTGCGGAATCCGTCAGCTTGGCTGGCAGAACTCTGCTGCTGGGAGCACCCTCACCACACCCCACAGTCTTTTTCATGTAGGTCCCTTTGGACCTTTTTGACAACAAGAGATGTCCTATTGTCGGATTAAAAATCTGCCCATAGGAAACAGGATGGGGGTGATGGGAAGCGAGAGCCACATAAGAATTCTGCCCTCTCTGGTACTCCCTGAGTAGGGGTTTAGGAAGGGAAGAAGGGGGGGGGTGCTGAGGTGATCTAAAGGGCGCTGTTTCGTTTGACATGCTTCTCTTAACTCATCCTGCACCCCAGGAAAGGGTAACCCCATCCGTGTGGCCTGTCTCGTGCTCCTTGCCACCTCTCTAGGAGACTCAGGAGAAATTATCACCATCCCTCCTTTTGGGGTTGGAACGGGCAAATAACGTAACTGTTTTTGTATGGGTAAGGTAGTCTCGTACCTAAGCCTTTTTCCTTGTTTTCCCTGCATGAGTTACACCTCCCCTTCTCTGTTTAGACACTCTCTCCACCTCTCAGGTCCCAAGCACAACCACAAAGACACGGAAACAGGAACAGAGGAGGTCCTGATTCATTTTCTGCAGTCTCTCTGTGATGTATCTTTCTTGTTCCACAAGGAAATAATATTTGGGCTTCGTGGACTGATTCGGGTTACATAACCCAGAGAGCTAAGGAAACCACAGGGCTTAGGCCTTGGTAGGATTACTACCTCTTCAGACTTTTCCTTCGCAGGCTTAGGGCTTGGTCACAGGTTGCTTTTCAATCTAAGAATTACAGGAACTTTTTTACAAGGTAAAGTTTAGCAGAAACTGAAGTAATTGAGAGTTATCTTTGTCCTTGATATTTTTGTATATTCCTTCGAGAGACTGCCAAGAAAGCGGGGGAGGTTTTAGTTGGAAGTCTGGCCTATTTCCTGACAATATTTTAGAAAACAGAATGAAAATAAGGGGCCAATGCAATGGGATATCTCTTATGGGTAAATGACAGAAAATATTTAAATGTACATTAAAATAAGACAATTCATGTGTATTTACTTCATCCACTAATCAGCAAGGAGAAATTACCTGACAAGGAAAAAATGAGCAGATTGAGAAAAATCACTTTAGAGAGGCTACAATAGCTAACTCATTGAGACGAAAAATATACTAAGCCAGAGCAGTGAGAACAGAAGTCACAAGGTTGTAGTTTCCACATATTAGATTGGCAAAGATTATAAAAGACAGTGAATGGGTAAGTTGGATAGGGTGGCTGGTGCTTGTAATCCCAGCATCTGGGAGGCTGAGGTAGAAACATTGTTAAAGAGGATATTCAACGCTATAAGGAAAACAATATATTTATTTACCAGAGAGAGAGAGAGTCGCACAAACCAGGAGTTAGAAGCGTGGCTGGCTTCCAGGAGAAAAAAAAGGGAGGTTCCTTTTCCTTTCACTTCCTTTTATATCTGCCTGTGTCAGTTTACATGTCCCCGCCCTCATGGGCGGATAGCTTTGTGAGGTTCACTCCTACACATTGTCATGAATTCAAGGCCAGTTTAGGCTAAAGAGTAAAACCCTCTCTGAACAAAACAAAAATAGGGCTGGCAAAATGGGCCGTCACATAAAGGTGTCTGGCATGAAGCCTGACAAGCTAAACTCTATGCCCGGTACCCAAGAGATGAAAGAGGAGAAAGTGATTCCCACAAAATTGTTCTCTGACCTCCACATACCCAAGTATGTACATACACACACACACACACACACACACACACACACACACACACACACACACACGTAATACAAAACTAAAAGAAAAGGAAAATAGATTCATGATCCTTGTGATTGTGCATGGGGAAAGACCAACCACCGTGGCCTGTAACACTGACAATGCTTCCATTTAAAACCATTAAACTGCAAGGATTTTACCTTCACGGGCAAGAAATCCAGCTTGGAGGGCTAGTAGACACCAGTCAGTAAGCAGGACAGGCATTTAACTACAAGTGGGGAGGGGATTGTTTGTTTTGTTTTGTTTTGTTTGTTTGGTCTGGTTTGGTTTTTCTAGGGTAGCCCTGGATGTCCTAGAACTTGCTCTGTGGACCAGGTGGCCTGAAACTCATAGAGATCCTCCTGTCGGTGCCTCCAGAGAGCTGGGATTAATGGTGTACACCACAACTGCCCTGCAGGAACTTTCACAAAAAAGCTGGAGGGAAAAGGAAGTGTAAGCTGTTTTAGTTTCAAGACAGGACCGGCTTGCCTGGAAATCTACAAGCTAGGCTCTGGTGTGTTTGCTGCTTCCCAATTGTTAGGACAGTCAATCTTAAAGACCATCGTTTCTTAACCATAAAATGAAATCGTTCCTCTTCCCCGGCACCATTTGCGGAGAACGGGTATAGATGAGAATAATTTGTTGAAGCTGATCCAGTGGCTGCAGGGAACTATGAGCCTAATGAGAGAAGACACGGGAGAAGTCATCCTGGCCACAGAAAAGACCAGGATGTATGGGACTCTCGGTGGTCACTCCTAGGGAAAACTACAGGCAGATTTGATCAGCCGGGCTGGGTTTCTCCTCTGCTCCCACTGTTTGGAACATGAAGCATCCCTCTTGGCTAGTCCACAGCCACAGCGAGGATGACTGGCATTGGAAGTATAAGAACTCCAGGGTCATTTTTGAGGAGATCCAAGTTTATTCAGAGAAACCTCTAAGTTCGCAGGCCTAGCAACTGCAGTCAGATTTGTGAGCTGTTCTTGGATCTCAGGGATGAGATGGACATTTTATTTTATTTATTTTATTTTATTATTTTTTTTGTTTTTTACGAGGCAGGGTTTCTCTGTAATGTTTTGGAGGCTGTCGGTCCAGCCTGGCCTCGAACTCACAGAGATCCTCCTGCCTCTGCCTCCCGAGTGCTGGGATTAAAGGCGTGCGCCACCACCGCCCGGCGAGATGGACATTTTAGCAGCATCTTTCTTCCAGTGAGTTCCAGTCTGAGTACCTAGCACAGATAAACAGGGTCCTCATCTCTTTAAGTGCCTGCGTTCTTATGGCTTTGTTTTATTTACTTAAACACTTTATCGGCAGGTATTAATTTCGCTTAATGGGCTTGATCGCAGCATTTTCATGCACACATGCACGTCATGCGTTTGAGCCACGTCCGTCCCTCGTTAGGCTCCCTCTGTCTCCCAGTCTAACCGATACCTTCTCCCTCTTCTCCTCTAGTTCCCCCTCCTCTGTCATGCTTTCTTCAGGGGTGCTCAATGGGTTTAATTAAGGTTGCCTATAGGAACCTGGGTGTAGGGCTATTGACAGAAGTATGGGCAACTTACCAAGGGTTATACAACTGAAGAAAGTGTCTCTCCGTCTGCCAGTAATGGTTAGCTGGGTACAAATCCTCAGAGAGTGGTGAAGCTTTGTGAGCTTCTCTCCCCCTCCACGGAATAACGTGGAGGAGACTGATCTCTGCAGATCTTGTACGGGTCATTGTAGCTGTTTTGAGTCTGTGAATGTAGGGGCCAGGATGTGCCTCAAGGAAAACTGGTCGAGCACTGTTGAATCGGTCAGAGCTTCACCTGTTTCAGTTCTTACATTCTTTCTACCCCTTCTTCTGCCTTGGAGGGGTTGAGACAGGTGTCCCAGTAAGGGCTCAGTTTCCATCGGCCAGTTATTCTCATCACTTCGCCCAGTTATTTGCCTCTGGCAACTGCTGCAAAAAAGGAAAACTTCCTACTTATTTATGCATGTATATATGCATATGTATGTAGAATTTATCAGACTGTCTTGCAGTCTCATGTCAGAAAGGCTGAAAATCTAGTAGTTGTTTCAGCCCGTGAGGCTGGATATCTCAGCAGTCACAATATGATACATTAAAAGGAAAAACATGTGAAGTTCCTTCAAGGTCTGTCTTTCCCATAATCCATTGCTTTATTCCTTCTGTGTGCAGGATGCCAGGGTAGGTAAAGCAGTTACATAAATAAACAAATAAATGAAATGACAAGGCTTGAATACTTTATTGAACACAGTTTGGGTGTGGTGTAATGCTGATATACTTCACATAAATCATAAAGATGAAATCACTTACAAATATGCTTTAAGCAGGACTGGTCCTTTTTATGGGAATTTCCTTATGGATGCTATCATCAATGTCATTTTTCCTTTGCTGATTATTTCCCGGTGTCTATCCACCTCATTTTCTGAGCTTCCTTGCATGCTAAGTTTTCTCCTGGATTAATGAAACAGCATGTAGAGTCACAACTCTGGTTCTGCGAACTTTGATAAGGGAATTGAACAAAGGTATACCTGAGTAGGCCACACTGCCCCTTTGTGTGGTGAGTTCTATTTGCAAAAGAACTCAAGATAAACCCAATTCTGTGTGTGCATTCCACTTTCCAGGTAAAATTATATCAAGAATAACGTGGGGATACTTAAGATTGGTCGGGACTTTCAAGTTCTCTTGCCCAGATTTGTTTGGAAGAAATCCATTCTTACCTATCTCAAAACTCCAGCAGGAGGAAAAAATGCTGAAATAAACTGAACCCTGTGATTATTTAGTTCTCTGTTTACACAGGCATTCAAGCTTTTGATACAAAAGAAAGTCTTTTCAGACTTACTTTTCAAGGTCTCTTTTGCCATCAAGCTTTAATTGGACAAAAAAGGTAATACCAAAGTAAAGCTTTCTATGCTGTGCACATCCAGGCTCACTACCAAGCCACTATCATCCAACAGCGACAATCGAGTTTGAAAAATGTTTTCCCAAGTGGAGGCCTGCCACCTAGCAACCACTTTGAAATGCTTCCTGCACTGATTCAAGATGAGTCAAAATGCCCAGTTTTGAAACTGATGGGTTTGTTGTACAGACCAAAGCCATTAAAGGATTAGAACTTTGTTTTTAGGGCAAAGACATGCAGATTAGGGGGTTTGTTTCATTGAACTGCCCAACTGATTTTGGAGTGAGGTTGTCAGATAAAACACACATGAAAGGTTGCATCAGATGTACTGCACTAAAATATTTCACTCTTACTGTTCATGTGAAATCTAGATTTGACTAGGAAAAGGGTATTCCCATTCGTTAAACCAGAAAATCCCGTTTCAGAGAAATTTTGCATTGAACTGTATAGGGACATTTGTTAAAAAAAATAGTATCACATATATTGATTCAGTTCCTTCAGGGCCCCCAAGCTTCTGTGCTTAGGACACCTATCTCAGACACCATTGGGCCTGTGGAGGAGCCTGAATGTGGGTCACAAAGAAGCTTACAGCCGAGGACAAGCAGTCACTCCAGGGTGGGTATTCAATAAAGTCAAACTGGGGAGAGGACAGGAAAAAAAAGATAGGTTGAGCATACGGGAATAATGATGCCCTCCAAGGTGAAATGGTGCGTAATGAGGCCAGAGAGATTTGCTCAGAAGTCTAGGAAGGGAGTGAATGCCACAAGAAATCAGCCGTTAACTTTGTTTCTGAAGAGACAGGAGGGGGCTGAGAAACTGAGCCCTCTGCTTTAAGTGTTGACTCTGAACTTCGGCTGAGATGGGAGAGATGAAGCCTGTCCCTGGCTGGAAGGCAACACCCGGTAAGCAACCCTCAGCGTTCCTCAGCCTGCTTCCATGGGCGTGAGGCGTCTCCTTTGGATCGTAGATGTTTTTTGTCGATGTCCTTGCTTTCCAGCTTTCCCTGGCCCTGCTCTGAACTTGGGAGGGGCTATCATTTTATTCTCCGTTTGCCACTCTCTTCATGGCCTGCAGCCATTTTTTTTTTTTTTTTTTTTTTTTGGTTAACAGAACTCAGCAGCGCACAACGGTTTAAGCATTGAGTACACACATAACCTCTGAAGGAGGTACCTGGCTGGGAGAGGTGGGTTTTTAAAGGGGAGATCCAGAGAAGAGTGAGACCTGTTTGTGGCACATAGTCTCTGCATGCTTGTTTATTATTCATTCTGCTGTGGGTCTAATGTTGGTGACATATCATGTCTAAAGAGAATTTAAATACAATGACTACGTATAGACAAATGTAGACATATTTAACCCAGAATATTACTCAAACTTAATTCATGTGCATCTTTGCTTTAAAATTCCTCACTCTGCTACACGACCGCTCGATGAGAGCCCCAGAGTAGCTTTTATCCTGCTCTGTGATGCTATCCACAGTGCAGTTCAGGGACCTGGCCCAGGAGAAGACGCAAGCTCTCCAAGAGGCAGCTGCTGACCCCTGGCCGCCTCTGGCTTTGGTGTGCTGAAGATCCCACTCTCGCTCATAAGCACACCCGACTAAGAAGCAGAACTCTTTTCAGACTGCAAATGCTCCAGAATCCTCTGGTGACCGTGATTTAGTACCAAAAAGGTTGGCAAAGTGTTAACAATTACCCAACTTAGGTGGTGATAAGTGACAATTAATGACTTTACTCTCATTTTCTGTTTGTTTCTGCTTGAAATTTTCTATGGTATAAAGTTTAATAATATATGTGAGCATGTGTTAATATCCCCTTGCAGGATAAAAAATTGGGGGTATTATTATTGGTGATGATAGCAAATTTTTTGATGTGTTGCAGTCCTTTCTAATAACTCATGTTAGTTATTTATACATGAGTCTCTATAATACTGTGGGGACTGAGGATGCCCAGCTACTGCTGTAGTAATTCCTTCCCTGGTCAGGCCAGTGGTTAAGTAGCTCTTCCACTGGCCCACACCAAACGGAATCCTGCCGGTAACTGTCCGCGGGAGTTTGAGAGTGCTCCATACCCAATGGATAGAGCCTTAAGATGTCTGCTGTCTCAAAGAATGCCTTGATGGCAGCCCCAAGAGAGACTGGGAGCCACAGGACTGCCAACTGCACCTTCTTGTGAACTGGGCTGCAACGGGTACTGCTTCAAATCATGAGGTATGTAGGTGACTTGTGACACAGCACCAGGTATAGAAACCAGCACGCGATGTACATCTGTGGTACATCCCTTTTCCTCAAGCTTCCCTCAGTGTGACAGTCTTCTTCCTGTTGCTTGCCCATGGAGAGGCGAGGACTCTCAACTCCAGCACCATGCCTGCCTCCAGGCTACCATGCTCCCCTCCACGCTGACAATGGACTGGACCTCTGGAACCGTTAAGTGAGCCCCCTCAATTAAATGGTTTCCTTGTGAGTTGCCATGGTCATGCTGTCTTTTCACAGCAATAAAAACCTAACTGAGACAATATCCAATAGATACTTCTATTTAACACACCTGGGCTAAATGAACTTTTTTTTTTTTTTTGCTTTTGGAAACTAGAAACATGACTGGCACCAGGACGTGCTACATTTTGCCTAATAGTATTTCCATTCCAACTGTAATATTTGTTTGGGTATGTTTTCAGAAGGAGTGTCTTGGCTTTTTCATTGGTCATGGTCAATCATCTCTCAGAGACAACCCATTATGACATATCTTCTGTGTGTCTATGTGTCTACGTACGTACATATACACTATACATGTGTATAAATGTGTGTCTGGAAGGTTACATGCCCATGTAGGTGCATGCGGAGACTTAGGGTTATTTCTTCAATTTTCCTCCACCCTATGGTTTAAGACAAGGTCTCTCACAGAACGTTTCATTGTAGACTGACTGGGCAGAAAGACCCGCCTATCTCCATCCCACCAGTGCTGCATGGTTACAGGCAAATGCTGCTACATCGGCTTTTTATATGAGAATAGGAGATCTGACCTCAGGTCCTTATGCTTGAATAGCAAGCTCCTTACCCACTGAGCAATTCCTATAGGCCCCCAAAATTTATTATATCATTGTCTGGGTGTGTGCGCACACATGCATTCACCTCAAATATACTTTTGCTGCATACATCTATATTGCCCCTCTATACTTAAATGCTTTTAACAGTCTTCTAAGTTTACTTCATAAATCAGTAACTGACCGATATTTGAAAAATGTAACTATAAGAATATTGCTCCTTTTTTTCACTTTGAATTGTGGAAGATGTATTTGAGACTAATATAGTTTCTGTCTCTGGCTGTCTGTCTGTCTGTCTCTCTCTCTCAGTGGACTAACAGACATGTTTTTAGCTGCTTTTTAAAAGGCTCTTAGAATCAATGTAATCCCTCCACTGCTCCGTGTACCTTTCATCTTGAAGAATGGCATAACTCCCCGGTTCAGCGTGTTCAGCTGCGAATACAGGTTTCTTATCTGTCGTTCCCCTCTTCAGCGTGTCATCCTGTTCTGTTGTCTAGAAGCTTCTTTAACAACCTCGTGAGTCTTTATTTCCCACTACATGCAAATGGGTGTTTTTTAATTCTGCATTGCTTTGAAATTTGCTATTTGCTCTAAATCTATATAAAACTGATTCTACCTCCTGATGGTACCCACACATCTCCAGAAAACACACACCCGATAAAAAGCCTTCATTTAGAATACAGAAATCAGATAAAACAAGAAGAAATTTTGAAACAAACATATAGTTTGAACATTTTGTCCGGGGAAAAAAAAGATGTACAGGCAGAAAATAAACAGACAAAGTGATGCACGCCAATATTGTCTGCAGAAATGCTAATTAAAGTGGATACACGTCAACTGGCGTTTTAAAACCTCTAGAACCTGACAATACGGAGTGCTGGCAAGGTTTTAAGTAACTAGAGCTGTCAAAACTTTGATGGATGATGTCTGGAAGTCAACGAAAACCTCTTGACCTAATGCCAACACTTCTGAGAATTCAATCAAAAAAGCAGAAAGTGTGTTACTAAAAGACCTATGAATGAAAATTCACAGAGCTTTATTTGCCGGGCCGTGGCAGCGCACGCCTTTAATCCCAGCACTCAGGAGGCAGAGGCAGGCGGATCTCCGTGAGTTCAAGGTCAGCCTGTTCTATAGAAGAGCTAGTTCCAGGACAGCCAGGGCTACACAAAGAAACCCTGTCTCAAAAAACAAGCAACAACAACAAAAGATTTACTAACGGAGGCTCTGAATAAAAAAAAAATGACCACCACTCAAAAATACTAAAAAATAGGGGCTGGAGAGATGGCTCAGTGGTTAAGAGCGTTGGCTGCTCTTCCAGAAGACCCAGATTCAATGCCCAGCACCCACACGGCAGCTCACAACTGTCTGTAACCACAGTTCCAGGGGATTTGACACCTCCACACCAAAGCATATAAAACGAAGTTACATTTTTAAAAAAGTACTAAAAATACTAAAGATTAGGTGAGTGAACAAATGAATTACAGTGCATTCTACTGTGAAACACAGCAGGCTACTCCTAGATGTAAAATGTGAAAGAACCCTCAAGCCATTACATTAAAGAAACAAGTCATGCGTGAGAATTCATCTGCGGTGAAGGTAAAGCTATACCGACAGGAAAAAAAGACAATGGTTCCCAGGGGTCTTCACTGACTCAAGAAGGGAATGGCAACTCCCAGGCTGATGGAGATGCTCTTGTCTGCTGCGGCGCTTGTGGAACTGCATAGATTTCTCCAAACTCATGGGCAGCTTACGTTTAGAAAACATGATTTACACTCAGTAAGTCCAAACCCAAACTTTTCTCAAAGCCACGATAAAATTAATTTGATAGTTACTATTCCACGTGTTCAAAAATTTTTTCTAGCTCTAGAATATACCTATTTTATTGAAAAAAAAAAAAGCCCCCTTTCACTCTGAGACCAGGAATGAAAATTGTTTGTTTCTTGGATTAAATTTTCTTCCTGGAGGATCAGTTGTGATTCTTTAGAATAATCTTTTTTCTTTCTTTTGGACTTTTGTTCTCTCTCTCTATTTTTTTTTTTACTGTTCAAGTTTTATTCTGGTC